GTTGAATTTCCAGGATGCATTTAGGATTATTTTCAAGAACTATGGCAGAGTATGCACTATTTATTTCCTGCTGGAGCAATGGGATTTCTTCAGATGACAAACCCAATGAAATAACTTTCTATGATGTATTGACAAGAGCAACAATATTGCCCATCTGGGTTCTCCAGACAATCAGGGAAGGTGGTTTGAAACGACACATCTAAAGAAAGATTGAAGCAGTTCTAGTGAAACGGATATAGGTAAAACTCAATGGCAGCAGTAATTATATTCAGGATTCCACTAGGAAAATAAAGAATGGTGGGACTTTGTGGAAATGCAGCCTTCCCCTCCAAGGGTAGCAAGTTACGAGGAAAAAACTCCTCTTTCATCAGGATGGCACGAGCAGACCGGTAAGTTGTCACCAAACTGCAAATTTTAGAGGCTACTTACAGCAGGAGTATGGGACCAAGAAACTGGATCCAGTTCTGGAAAATGCTTAATGAATTCATATGATCTAGCAATGGTGACTGTTTACAATTCTCCGCTAACAGTTATCACACTCTTCTGTATAGACCTAATCTGAAAGGCTCTTGTGGTGCAGTAACTGTGTCCCTCCTTCTGGGCCAGGAGGCCTGGATTCAAATCTCACCTGCTCCACAGGTGCACAATAGCATTTTTAAACAGGTTGGTTAGAAAATATCTAGTACTCCTCTGAGCTGCATATTTTGCTTTCAAACATTCCTGACTCTCCAGCTTCCACCTCAAATTCCCATTTGAATAGATATCCCTCACACTCACATATAACCAACTGCCCTGTTGTTTCCATTCCTCAGTCACTACTAATCTTGTGGTTCTCACAAGTCTGAAATAATCTTACTTTTATACATACAATGGAGTTGACATTGAATGTATTTTGCCAAATCTCACCATGTGATATGTAAGTAAATATACACATGATGGTATTTTCCTGTAATAAAAGCAAGTTACTGCCAATGCTGAGGATCTTAAATAAAAACAGAAAATTCTCTGGTATTTTCTGGCAGCATCAGAGAGAGAAAAACAAAGTTAACGTTTCCAGTTCAAACAGTAACTTTGCTTCTCACTCTACCAAAGCGGGGACTTTTCAGTTCTTACTGTTTTTAATACAATGTAACTTCTAACATTTTGTGAATAACAGCAATATGATGTCATATTTTGTGGGTCAAATTAATTGTAATTTTAAGATCTACATCAATTACAAATGACTGAATTAGTTTTGGGAAAGAGACAATCTAAAATGTCTCCTAGCTCTGATTAATTATGAGACTCATTTACAAGTGTGTTTTATAATTTTATCAAATCAAAAAATAATATTTAATAAGGCAGTTGTTTTACTACGGAATACCAGCACTCAGCATCTGGCTTCGTTGAACATATTCTATTGTTCTCTTTGATTGACTGAAGTTGTTCTTCTGTTTTTCTTCCTTTCTGTCCATTACCCCTATTTATCCTAAACTCTAATTGGCTTTCCACTGCATGACTAGCATGTGATCAATCTCAGATTGGCTAAGTAGTGTGTGCCCATTCCTAGTTGGCAGAGCAAGTTTTGTGTTTGTTTGAAAGCATGTACTATCACCTCTGCACAATAATTTCATGTAATCCCAAATGTCTAGTTGATTTTATCAAAATATTCTGGAAAATGCCAAACCCATCAACCTCTTTTAACTAAGCGAAACGTTGGTGGCTCCACAATATCTGCTATTGATGCATGAAACAAGTTAAATGAAGTTACTTATCAAAAGCCAGACTGACTTATTTTGATCTCCAAAAGAAATGAGTCACATTAGCAGGAATCATACCTTATCACCATTCTGAAGTATGTTAAAACTAAGGCTACAAAATATAATTGCAAGATACAGCAAAATACATAAAGCTCAAAAAATTCAAATGTAGTATATGTGGACTTGCCATGTCCTTTTAAGTTACAGAATTAATCTATTTCAAAACATGACTCTGTCCTTGAGTAAAAGCTTTTTACTTCAAAGCATTTTCATATTTTTTAGCCTGAGTTTATATTAATGTGGGCCATAAAACCATCATAAAACTATAAACCCAAGGCTTTACTTTTGACCTGGACAATAGAGCTATTTTTCAATACAGAAAGCTTTTTTATAATTAACCACAACTAAACAGAAATTTAAGGTAGTTCCTCACTTGCTTAATTCATCAAATTTGTTGAAAAATAACAATTTTACAATAACAGTCACTGTCCTTAATTTTCATCCACCCTCCTCAGCAACATTTGGACTCCTCACACTCCTCATGCCCTGCATTTTCCCATTGCAGGAGAAAACAGCCAAAACACAAGGAAGAGTCAGAAAACTAGAGGTAGAAGGATGTTCAGGTCCACCCAAAGCCTGATGGAAGAGGACACTCCGGCAATTGGCAAGCAGGTGCTGGTAAAGCCATTGCCGATGGAGAGATGGGGTTGGCTCAGAGACCAGGTGATAGACTGCTACATGGCACTGAACTTTCACTCATGTTGAATTGATATCAACAGTACATTTAATGTCATTATCTGCATAATGTCAATTCAGAATCCAATTTCACCTAGATCAACTCAAACTCAATGTTTCCATTTCCGATAGGTACAGAGGTGAAGCTTGCATAGGAAATATTGGAGAAGCCTGAGGAGTCCTCAGTGGAGGAGCATCATTTTGAGAATGCACTGTTACATGATTCCTCACACCCTCCACCAGAGCAGAAACACTCACCTCAGTCCATCCAGTTTCACAGATAGAAGAGGTGGCATGTTGTGAGAAGCACTTCAAAAATTGAACAGGTTAAATGCTGGAGATAAAGTCAGCAATGGAGAGTCCTCAGAGACATTTCAGGCTCTGCTCAATTAGATATAGGTGCTGAGACTCTGGGCCTAAAGGAACTTGTGAGACAGTTATTGAGGGGGAGTGGTAGTGTCCCTACCTCTGAGCTAGCAGGCCTGGCTTCAAGTCCTACCTGCTTCAGAGGTGTGTAATAACATCTCTCAACAGGTTGATTAGAAAATATCTAAAATGAACTCATGAAATATATGGGTTTCTGTCAGAATTTCCAGAGGTCATGTGCATAAAATGAAGCACAGTGAGTGTCAGGAACAAAAACAGAAATTCTGGAAAAACTCAGCAGGTCTGGCAGCATCAGTGGGGAGAAAGCAGATTTAATGTTTTGGGTCCAGTGATCCTTCTTCAGAACTTTTTTTTTTGTTCGGTGTCGTGAAACCTTGAGCATTTTGTTCTTGACCATCTCCATGGAAAGAATGAAGGATCAACTGTGACAGGTAACTCAGTATATGCTGATTCATACCTAGGGCCTGCACATTATGGTTGAGACTTTATAGAGCATCTGTCAAATTCCTGCAGTGGTAGCTGAGAGGCAAGCAAGTGCTCTCCAATAAGCTCATAGGGACGTGAGGGTGGACCCTGAGAGGCAACATGGAGAAAGTGCTCATGGGTCATCCTCAACTTCCTTGATACTGCTTTATGCTATAATGACCAAGCCAGCTTTGACACATCTGCAGGTGGGGCTGACAAGCTGAACCACCACAGGCTCAAGAATCCAGATGACATCTGGCATGAGTATCTGGGCATCAGAGCAGTGAACAAGTTTCTTTCCTCTCACTCTACTGAGGCCATGAGGCAAAAACCAGGTGGAAGTACTAAAAAAATGAAGAAAATGTCTTTATTGCACAAAAGGATTTGCTTGACTATTTATTACTGTTCCACACTACTGATGTTTTCTGTTCGAATTTTTAAAATATTTTATGTGAAATACCCATAGAAAGCTTGATGAAAAACTTGCAATGGTGCAAAATTTACAAGTGAAGTATGCAATTGTGCAAACCTTATAAGTGAAACCTGCAATGATGTAAACTTTACAAATGGAGCATGTCTGAATAAGAGAGGCTAAAATTGTGACTGCAGGCATCACTGGACATCAGGATGCTCCTCTTCCTCCAAAGAGGTGAATGCTGGATGCACTCTATCTATTCTAATGACAGTTTCACACCTTCTCTGCAACGTGATGTGGTGAAGGACACAGCAGACCAGAGTAATCCTAGACCCTGTTCGTGAGATACATTGAATGGAGCCTCTAGTTCTGATAAGTCACTTGAACTGCATCTGAAGCAGTCCAAAAGTTTGCTGTATAATGTCCCCAGTGGTGAGATGGTTCCTGTTGCAACTCTCCTGTGCTTCTGTGGGACAATTCCTCACTGAGGTCACCCATCAAGTCTGAGTCTTCTTGTTCCTGTGACTGCCACGTGCTAAGTCCGGTAGATGGACAGAATACCTATCAAAAGATGAAATCCTAGCAGCTCCCTCAATATCTGGCACAGACTTACATGGTGTTCTTACATTTCTTATGATAGAGTTGCATAAGATTTTCCCTTGTATGTGTATTATTTCTATTTAATATTAGAAGGGCTGTAAAATTAATGGGATAACAAATTCTATCTTTGGTTTAAAGCTCTTGTATTTTCGTTGATTATCACAGTCTAACAACAGTCCTGCAATAACAGGAAGGCTACAACATTCCATTTTAGTTTAAAGTTAGTACATCTTGAAGGCCATTTCAGAGACGTGTATTTAAATATTTAACGTTAACGATGCTTGTGCCAAAACAGATTTCATTATTTTTAAACAAAACAGAAATTGCTGGATAAGCTCAGCAGGTCTGGCAACATCTGTGGAGAGAATTCAGAGTTAATGTTTTGGGTCGAGCAACCCTTCCTCAGACCTGAAACATTAACTCTGATTTCTCTCCACAGATGCTGCCAGACCTGGTGAGCTTTTCCAGCAATTTTTGTTTCTGATTTACAACATCTGCAGTTCTTTGCCATTGTTTTTAAACGTTTGCTTCTAGGTGAAGATGCCAGTTGCTTTTCTTTAACTAGATGTATTATCTCTGTTATATTGTGATTCAGTGCTGTACAAAAGAGGATACCAACTGTTTAATGCGATCAGATGTCTAAAATGGTCTTTCTTCAGGTTTGGCTGGTTTGGATTGGATGTCCAAAAAGTTCCAAGTCCTATTTTAAACTACATAGGAACAGCATTAGCAGGTTTAAGGTAATGACTGACAGCTTCACAGATGTACAGAACTGTGTTGATATTATACAGATCTGTGTACACAGACATTGGAATTGTTCAAATGAATTGCCTTGTAACCAGAATGGTAGTTTCAATTTAATAAGTGTAAATAAAACCAATGGACAGCAATAAATACTTAAATAATTAGAGTAATGAACAAAAATCTGGGGTAGCTGACACCAGATGTCCACAGTTCCCTTGTCATATAGAAACTCCAGCATTTCTTGCACATACTGAATAACCATTTTCCCAGGTAGTGTCTCCATGTTGCTTGAACAGGAGTTCAGCTTTTCTGAGTACGTGGAGTGATTCTAGTCTACGTACGCTGTGCAGGAGGCTGAGAATATCCTGGACTACATGTTCCATGCTAGTCACTCCACAGCTAGAGAGAGTCCAGAAAGATAGTGACTGGGTGGCAATCAGACAGAGGAAGAAGAGCAGGCAGGATAGGAGTCCTCTTGACGTACGACACTCTTAAACTAATTTTCAGTGCTGAATATCAATGAGACTTTTGAGGCTTTGGAGGAGTGAATTCTAGAGTGTATCCACAGCACGATGAAGGAAGAGGAGGGCCACAAAGAGGTAGTAATCTAAAGGTATTTGATAAGGTCACCTATCAAACTTTGCTGCACAAGATAACAGCATATAGCATAGAGGCTAAAATATTAGCATGGATAAGGGACTGGTTAGCCATCAGGATGCAAAGAATAGGGATAAATGGGTTTTTTTCAGGTTCCCAAGATATAACTAGTGTAATGCCACAGGGATCTGTGCTGAATCCTCTACTGTTTCCAATCTATATCAATGACCCGAATGAACAGACAAAATGTACAGTAGCTAAATGTACTGACAGCATGAAGGTAGGTAGGAAAATAAGTTGTCAGAGGAGGTAGAGTGTCTGCAAAGGGATGTAGACAGGTTAGGTGAGTGAAGAAACAAATAAATAATGGAGTATAACACAGATAAATGTGAACTTGTCCATTTTCCAAGCAAGAGTAGAAAAGCAGTATACTATTTAAATAGAGAGAGTAGAAGAACTGGTGATACAGCGAGATGTGGGGTTTGTGGTACATGAACAAGTGCTTAGGAAGGCAAATGGAAAAATGTGGTTTATTGCAAGGTCAATGAAATATAACAGTAGAGATATTTTGCTGCAGGGCCTTGGTCACAAAGTTGTAATATTGTATGTAGTTTTAGTCTCCTTATTTGAAACAAAAAGATTTAGAAGCAGTTCAAAGAAGATTTGCTCAACTTATTTCTGGAATTAAGGGCTTGTCTTAAGAAGAATGACTGAACAGGTTAGGTCCATATCCATTGAGTTTAGAAGGAGTAGTGAGAGTTCATATTGAAACATATAAGACCTTGAGGAGACTGGATAGAGAATATAGCAGGAGAATGTTTCCTCTTGTGGGGGAGGCCAAAACTGAGGGACATAGTTTAAGAAGGGACCTCACCTTTAGCACAGATGAGGAGAACTTTTTTTTCTTTCAGTGGGTAAATAAAGTGCAGAATTCTCTTCACCAAAGGTGGTGATAGCTTGGTCTTTAAATTTATTCAAGGCTGGGTTAGATAGATTTTGGACAGGCAAGACCAACAAAAGTTATGGAGTAAAGACAGGAAAATGGAATTGAGACAAGACCAGATCTTGTTGAATGGTGGAGCATGTTGGAAATTCAATTGCTTTCTCCTGCTTGTGGGTTCCTATGGATTACCCAGAGTTGCATGAGCTAGTGAAAATAGGAAAGACATGTTACTGGAGAAATGGTGCATGACAGAGATTTTCAGATCCTTGGAGTACTGTGCCATGCCTGAGAAATGAAGAAATTGTTCAAAATAAAAGGCTGTACTTTGACATAGCTGAGGTCAATAACCTCATGGGACGGTTAACTTGTACAATGGGATAGATAGAACTAATTTGGCAGGAGGGTTAAGTACTGGGATGAAACGTTAGACAAAAACACAGAAGAGTTGGAGAGGTAAATAGTACAAGAGTAAAGAGTAGTTCAAATAGGGGGTTGAAAGAGAGGGTGAGAAATGTAAAACCATCTAAGATCCAATTGAAATGTATATAGTGTGATTAAAAAAAAGGAGTTTGGTAATTGGCAGGTACAAGGTGCTCGGTGAGACTTGAATATAATGGCAATAACATGCCCAAAGAAGCAGAGGATTGGAACTTAAGATCCTTTGCTACCAGGAATGCAGTGAAGATATAGAATATAAGGGACAGTTGGAATTATTGATTAAATCAACTATTATATCACTGGAAAGGGGTTGGAGAAGTAAAGTTGCAGTTAGATTCTAGAACTACTGAACATTCATAATGATGGACTTTGTTCAGAATAACTCAGAGAAAAAACAATTTGGCCCAGGTTCATTGCAATCCAGTTCTGAAGAAGGGCCACTGGAACTGAAACATTGACTCTATTTCTCTCTACAAATGCTGACTTTCTCCAGCAATTTCTGTTTATGTTTCAGATTTCCAGCATCCATAGTTTTTTTCTTGGATTGCAATCAAAACTGTAAGCACAACAGGCGACTGCCTCAAAGAGAAGATGGTTTGATGACAGTGTAGACATGTTCCACTGAGAGAAGAAAGGTGGGTGGGGAAGATCTTAGAGATAACAATCCAGGTCAAAATTGATTGATATTTAGAAACAGCTAGGCTAATAAAAGAAATCAGGTGCTTTTGCTTAAAGAAAATCATGCTCGAGCAACTTGATGAATTGTTTGATAAAATAATTGATTGAGTCAATCTAAGTTGTGTCATTTATCTTATGTAAGCAGACTTTCAAAAGGTATTTTACAAACACCATATAACAGACTCAAAGCCAAATTAGAGCCCTTTGATTAAATGGAAAGTGGCAGCATGGATACAAAACTGGTATGTTAACCTTTATTGAAAGCAAGTACAAGTACAAAGAAGTCTTGCAACAAATGTATTGAGCTTTGGTGAGTCCATACTGGAGTATGCATAAAGTTCTGGTGGTGTCCATATTGAAGACAGGACATATTTGCATTGGAGGCAGTACAGAGAAGGTTCACTAGTTTGCTCCTGATGAGAGATTTGCCCTATGAGGAGGGGTTGAAGAAATTAAGCTTTTACTTCGGAGTTTAGAAGAATGAGGCATAGTCTCATTGGAACATATAAGATTCTGAAGGTGCTGGATAGGGTAGAAGAGATATCCACTGTTTTTCAGATTAGAAGTAAGGATAGAGTTCCCAAAGGGTCATTATAATAACTACTGATCTTTTTGGTGTCTGGTTTGGGGTATTCAAGACATGATTTAAAAGTTTGCAAATGACATATGTATATGAGTTGTAGTAAATTATTAGTGGATAGTAATATACTTCTTGAGGTATAGACTGATGAAATAGGAAGACATTGCATGATATTGAACACGGGGAAACATACACTGTGATAGAATGAGGAGATCTGATACAAACAAAATCATAGGTTTTTTAAGGGGATCATCAGGACAGCTGGTGGAGTATGCACATAAATCTTCAGTTATGTCCCCTTGGGTTCTTTTACTAATTAGTTAAAATTTATATCCCTCATTACTGACTGGAAGCTGTCCATTTTTGTTTACTCTTATCAAAACACTGCCATGAAATCTCCTTTTGATCTTTTGTATAAAAAGATTCCTCTGTCTCTCCAAATAATTATTTAACCAAAGGATTCTTTCCAGTATGTCAATGGTTATTGTTTGCATTGTCCATACTTGCAGTTTTAGTGCAGTTGAATGAAATGAGTGGTAGAGATGGATGTCTGATGTTTTCTGGATTCCACTATAATTTCTGTTTAAAGAAAGACCTGCAGTTAAAGTGTCTTGTAGCTAATGATGAACTGGGAAGTACATCATTGTAATGAGGAAAGATTACAATGAAAGCAAGATTAAAATATATCTATTCAAGGGGATTATTCATTCAATACCTTAACTTTAAGAAAAATTCTGGAACTGTCAATTTTAGGAAAATGCTACTCAATAGAAAATCTTACAGTTAATTACAGTGTTTATCTATTAAAAAATTTTCAAAGAGGTTCATAGCCAATGCATTTAATGTGAGCTGCAGTGACTTGCGTAGCCAATCAAAAGTGAAACAGATTGCAAATCTATTTAAATATAAGGAGATAGTTAATTTTAAGACTAACAGATCATAATGGGTCTATGTAAATCAACAATGTATGTTGGCTATTCTTAATGAAAAATAAGGCCTGGATTTTGCAGTCAGCAGTAAACAGATTATTCTAGCCATTCCCTGTATGTCTACTTGTCAACAGACCTTCTATGGGTCTTCTCACTGACCTTACAGTGAACAGAAATCCACTTTGGTGCAACACCAGCTACAGTAAATCTGAACTGTGTGAACCGGGCAGTCAACCATCCTATTAACCCATCAGTTTAATGAATCCTTACTGTGGCACTCAGTGTCTGGAGCCAGAAAGTGTAAGTTTGAATAGTTAATGCAAAGCCAAGTTGTGTATAAATAATGAAATAAAGGTAAAGAAAGAAAGACAGGCATGACAAACAGACTAAAAAACACAGAAAAAAATAATTGAAATTTGAAGGTATGGGACTCCACATTGTACATGTTAATTTTGAGATTACATAAATTTATTGACCTTGATTTATCACAGTATATATAAATCACTGACACTAGAATGGATATGCCTCATTATTTCTGTATGTCTAGTGGGTATATACTATACTTTCAGATCCCTTCATGTATTTGCAGAATCCCTCAGCAAGATACTGGTGTAGCAAGGCTGATAGAGAAGCAAGGCAGCTTAGAATGCATCCTCCTGATATCTGCAATTAGCTCCACATGTGGTTATTAGAAATCAGTTTTACTGCTTCAGAACAGTGAAGCAGTGTTAGCCTCATCATAATCCTTACTGCAAAATCCAGGCCAAAATCTTTTCAGGAGCATAATGACAGATTTCAAACCTAGTATTCTAACTCATTTCAGCGCTGGAA